CATGTAAATTAGGTGCTTGTGGGGAGCAGGCTGCACTTACTTAGGCAATCAGTTTACGATGGTTTAGGACTGTGATTCGCAACCCTGGCTGTGCATTAGAGTCATCTGGGGACCCCTTGAAATGCACTGATGCCTGGACCCACCCCAGAATCAGAACTACAGGGGGATGGGGAAAGGCTGTTAAAGTTCCCCAGGTGACCCTAATGTGCAGTCAGGGCTGAGGACCACTGATTCAGGAAATCAGTGCTTGAAAATCAGGCTTAAGTAGCATGGCAACAACGCTGCACCCTCTGGGGCAGTATTTCTCAAAAAGGTAGGTTGTGAATCATCTAAGCTGCTTGTTAAAAAAAAATACAGATTTTGGGGAATCCCCACCCCACCCCTTGGTATCTGCACTTTGAATGCACTCTTTGGGCAATCCTTTTTGTACTATAAACACTGGGAGCCACTACCATTAGGGCGTTCAGTATCGAGCTATTACTCAAACAGCTTATACAACTCAATGAGAAAAAAACAAACAACTCAATCCAAAAATGGGTGGAAGAGCTAAACAGACATTTCTCCAATGAAGACATAGAGACGGCCAGTAGGCACATGAAAAGATGCTCAGGATCGCTAGTTATCAGAGGAATGCACAACAAAACTACAGTGAGGTAGCACGTCACACCAGTCAGAATGGCCATCGTTAAAAAGTCCATAAACACTAAATGCTGGAGACGGTGTGGAGAAAAGGGAACCCTCTTACACTGTTGGGAATGTAATTTTGTGCAGCCACTATGGAAAATGGTATGGAGGTTCCTTAAAGAACTAAAAGTAGAGATGCCATATGATCCAGCAATCCCACTTCTGGGCATATATCTGAAGAAAAATCTAATTCAAAAAGATACATGCACCCCAGTGTTCATAGCAGCACGATTTACAATAGCCAAGATGTGGAAGCAACCTAAATGCCCATCGACAAATGACTGGATAAAGAAACTTGCAAAAAAGAGCAAAATAATGCCATTTGCAGCAGCATGGATGCGTCTACAGATTATCATTATAAGTAAATCAGACAGAGAAAGATGAATATCGTATGATATCACTCATATGTGGGATCTAAAAAAATGGCACAAATGAACTTATTTACAAAACAGAAACAGACTCACAGACATAGAAACAAACTTACGGTTACCAAAAGGGAAAGCGGTGGGATTAACAGATACAAACTACTATATACAAAATAAACAAACAAGGTCCTACTGTATAGCACAGGGAACTCTATTCAATAGCTTGTAATAACCTATAATTGAAAAGAATATGAAAAAGAATTTATATGTATAATTGAATCACTATGCTGTACACCTGAAGCTAACACAACATTGTCAATCAACTATACTTCAATAAAAAAAAAAACCACACCAAGTCCCAATAGAATGTGCACAACTAGTTCTTACTTCACTTTGATTCAGAATGTGTACCTACACCTAGGATGGCTATTTTGAGTGTTCCTGACAAGTTTCTGAAAAAGGAACTTAACTTGATTCAATCTACAGCATTTTCATATAAAACATAATTAGGTACTCTTTCTAGAAAACTTTTTGGCTTTATCGAGAAATTGTTGACAAATAAAATGTATGACATTTTTTAAAAACTGAGGTAGTACTGAAAAACTTAGAAGGTGCTCATAAAATCACATCGCTTTTTCCTGTCTTCAGACATGCTGGTTCCCAAGCTGGTTGTGTGAATTGTGAGGTAGGCAACATTTGCCGGTCCTTGGCATTAAGATCTTCTGTAGCCAATGGTTCCCTCCTCTCTCAGTAAGAATCTCTTGTTTCAGATATTTCTTGACCCTCCCATCCATCAGAAGTTATCCACGCTCTATCCTTTTCCCCTGGGTGCTATCGCTGGTCGTCGATGAATTAATTTAGACTAGAGAATGCTGTCTTGTTCTCCCGCATAACTAAATTTTGGAAGCTACCTTCCATGACTTAAAACCAGAAATGAAGACAACAATGTCTGGCCACGTAGAGGGGTGTGGGGATGGACACCTGACCCCCTTAGGCACACCAGGTGGAAGCCACCTACCCAACCACAGATCATCACCACCTGCCTGATGAATAGGTTTACATTTCTGGGCAGTTTCTCAGTTCTTTGCTTTCATTCCCTACAAATATATGGATTACTTCAAAAATACACTCCTCTGAGGACGGGTCAAATCACAGACATGTTGGATGAACCCATGACTCTAGGACAATAAAGATATTTTCTGAAAAAGCAACTTGAAGTTAAAGTAGCCCTCAGACAGGTTTGAGAGCAATCTGAATTCATCTCAAAGACAAAATGTTCTTTTGTTAAAGGGAAATCAATTCTTTTAGTACATTACTTCCTAAATGACTTCTGTAAGATAACTCGGGATCCATAAAGACTCAGCATTTACACAGGCTAAATAAATCCAATATTTTAGTTTATTTATTTTGGCGTTTAATCTATATTTTTGAAAATAATTCCTGTAAGGACTGGATTTTGGGGCTGATAGGCTAGATTTTTTCTCTCTCTCTATCCTTATGCTGTAACAACATAGGATTAGCTAGTAAATGCAATTTTGAGACCAGTTTGTTATGAAAATCAAATTAAGTAATTTCGTTTGAGTACGGTGAGTATGGGAGATGAAGACAATAATAACAGTTACAAAAGAGACAGTGAAGCCCGACGTCCTTAATTCATCTCCCCTCTGAAATGTGGGTCCCTTGGTACCTGGTTGTCCTTAGCTTCTGGTGAGCGTATAGCTGTTGGCCTAACGGACACCCTCCTGGGCTCACACAGTTCCTCCTGCCCTTCTGCTGACCCTACCCCGGACTGTCCTGTGCAGTGAATCACTTCTCGGTCATCAAGGACTTTGTAGTTAATAGACATTGTTTAAGAATCACTAGGACCAGGTGGCCTCTATGCTCTGTTAGTCCCCAAACAATGATGAAGACCTTTGCTGACATATTCCCAGTGAAAATAGATACCCTTTCAGAAATCCTGACTTAGGAACGCACGTCCTGTTTCCAGGCACCTACATCCAGACTCTAGATTAAGGATAAAATTGTCCCACTGGCTCCTTGGCAGGGCAGAGGGCGGCTACCAGTCTTCTGAATCACTGTCCGCTCAACCCCACCCTGTAAGTTACCCTGTAATAAACTGAGCCATTGGTTAGATGGAGGTTCTTCAGTCTCAAGGTACCTTCTCAGTTCAGTGGGTATTTTTCATTCCCTCCATCCTCCAACAGCAAGACCCATGCTTGGAGTTTACCATTCCTTAGAAAACCGATGAGACATTATAGATCATGTGGCCAATTACTTAACCCAAGGACACAACATGATGCCAAGGAAGCTATCATCACTGGTATGCTTTTAGTATCCGTGGGTCATTTAGTTTTGTCTAATTAGAGGCCAAAGATTTCCAGGGGCAAGAGCCATCAATCAGTCAAGAGACCACCTCTAAGCGAAGGTATAAGAGAAGGGGGCAAACAAGACCACTACTTTCCACCCTCAGATCAGCCCGCCTCCCATTCTTGGAGGTATACTGTCCCTTTGCTAAATAAAACCTTTAAAATCTTTCACTACACAATGCTTACATCTCCCATCTGAATCCTTATCTTTCTGTTAGGACAAGAACTGGGGTCTTTTCCCTTCCCCGTTCGGGGTAACAATTTGACTGCAAGCAAGAGAAACTGATTCTGACTTAGGCAAAAGAGTTTCTTGGGAGTACAGTCAACCCTCCTTATCTGTGGTTCTGCATCCACGGATTCAATCAACTATGGATCGAGAGTATTTGGGGAAAAAAAATTCCAGGAAGTTCCAAAAATCAAAACTTGAATTTGCTGCCTGCCTGCCACGATTTACATAGTCTTTACATTGTATTTGTAACTATTTACATCACATTTATATTGTCTTAGGTATTATAAATAATCTAGAGATGAGTTCAAGTATATGAGACAATGAGCATAGGTTACATACAAATACTACTCCATTTTTATACAAGGGACTTGAGCATTTGAGGATTTTGGTATCTGCAGGGGTTCCTGGAACCAATCCCCCTTGGATACTGAGGGACAACTGTATATGAAATTAAAAGAACAGTTGGAGAAACTTGCTTGAAAATGACAGGGATAAGAAAAGCTTTGGAGTTGAAGTTAGAGATATTTTATCAGGACCTCTTAGCTCCCCCTTTTAAAACTGAGTTACTTTGCTGGCAAATCTGCTCAGTCCCAGGCAAGCCGGAGGGGCTGAGCACGGCTCAGGCGCCCACCACGTGGCTAGGGGATGGCCTGCCACGCTGACTGCGCCTCGCACCAAGCCTGAGCCCGGGGTGGAGGGATTCTGCCCCCACAGGACCTGCGGCTGCTGTGGCAAGAAGACTGCAAACGCGCTCTGAAGGCAAAACGGAACAAACCTAACAGAGGTCTTCTGTAGATTTCAGAATACCTTCACAATATTTTTCTTAATTCCTGGCTTTTGGGGCATATGCAAGGCCCTCTTTTCCAGGCTGTCCTCCTACAAAACATGCACAGGTTGTTTGTTTTCCTCTAGACTTTTCTCAGCAGCCCGTGACTTCCTAGAGGACAGGGGCTGGAGATGCTTGCCATGAGATTTTATTTCCTCTTGGTACCATTAATGAGTCATTTTCAAAGCAATCTTTTCACAAGGAGTATTTCCGACCAAGGCAACACTGACAGACGGAAGCTTAAGGGTGGAAACCACTTCGTGAGTAAGAAATGCAAATGCTTCGCCTGAAATCTGCGTAGGGAAACACGCACATGTCATGCAGACTAAGCACCACGAAAACGAAGAAGGCAAATGAACATGCCCTTCCCTCCCTCGTTAACCGCTCACACCACCTAAAAAGAATATTATTAAATTACTTAAGCTCCATATTTCTTTAAGCAGCTTTTCAAATTGCAAGCACTTCTTCCAGGCAGGCGCGGAGATGTGCACACCATCTCAGTGTGAGTTGTTGGTATACACATTTCTTACCTGGTACTCATACTCCGTGAAAGGCAGTAGCTCGGCATCCTTAAAAGAGGTCGAGCTTCCATTAAAGGTTAGCACTGGACTTGATTGTCCAGTCTGAGCTGCTACTTGTCTTCTATACAATTCGTAATATAAAACTTTTCCATTTGGCTGGAGAGGTTCTGTCCACAAAAGGGAAACCGTGGGCTGGAAGCCCCCTGGAGCCATCTGCACCTCTAGGTGTGGAGAGGGCTGCTTCTGAGGTGCAGTCTCAGGGGTCTGGACAGATGTCCAGTCACTTGACCCACATCCCAGCCTGGTACAGGCTTGAATTCGAACTTCATACCTTCGGGACACAAGGCAGAAATGATTCATTATTGGCAACATAGATTTTCATGGGAAGAATCTTTCAAAGACCAAGTGTTTTCTGAAAAAACAAAAAGATGCGTTTATATTTACTCTTGTCTACAACGAATCCTTTTCAAGGACAACAGTCATATTTCCATGGAAGTTTCAGAACATTTTCAATCCTCCTGGCTTTTCAAACTACAGAAAAGACTCTCACCTGTCTAGTAAGCGTGGACCGGATGCAACCCTTTCCTAAACAGGAATGTACAGAATCAATAACCTTTCAAGATTCTCTCCAGCAGGAAGCTGGTATTCTGCAGAATGACTGGACACAGGGAGGAAGAATGCAGATCCTAGGAGTCTGCACCAGTTTTCCACAGCCCTGGGCTCCTCCTCCCTCTGTAGCTGGAGCTAAATGATTCCTCGGGAGTGTTTCCAGGTCAGGAAGGAACATCACGGAGTTAAGGTCTCCGTGGTAATAAATCCCCTCACCTGATACCTGACATCTTAAAACAGGCTCCCTAACACCATACGGAGACCTTCTGGGGCCAAAGTTTACCCAGCCACACACCAGATTATCAATCACGGAGACACCTTATCACCATCCAGTTAAGCTCAACCAATCAATTACGTTTTTCCTCAAAGCTGGTCTCCTGCCACTCGGAAAGGTCTATTTACATAGCTGGGACGTTTCCCTTCCAACAGAAGAGGCTTTTGTTAGTCTTAAGTGCCTATGGCTGCAAATATTCCTTCCCCCTCTTTCCCATGCCCCACTGACTTTATGACACCCCTAATTTCCCGCCAAGCTCCGGCCACCACCTACCTTTCGCCCTTTCTTTCTTTCGGTTCCAGCCTTTCCCTCTTCAATTTTCTGCTTTCCTTCCTGCAGATAATCACCGCCTTCTGTTCTCTGACTTGCTTTCTTTCTGTTTCCCCTCTCCCTTCCTCACTTTGGGGACCTCTCATTCCCCTTTTCTGCTGCTCCTTCCCTCCCGCTCCTCTGATGCCCGCTCCATCTCCACCGTGATGGGGCTACCAGCTGTGACTGGCAGGTCTGACTTCTAAGCGATTCTGAGAAGTCAGTTTAGATCTTCCACATATGGATTATTTGTTTTCAGGATTATCTGTGGCGGTTTTAAAATTCTGGGTCAGATTCTTTCTGTTTCTTAGTGTATTCCCAGGATCTCTTTTCCAACTAATCAGCTGGCGGTACCCCAAGGAGAACACACGAATTTGCAGTCTTCAATAAACATGAATCCGCTGGAAGGACCCCAAACACCACGAATCCCAACTTCATATAGAAGTGACATTCTGTTTTAAGTCATTAATGTCACTTACGTCTTCAATTAAAGTGGACAGGAAAGAGACATCTTGTTGCCTTAAATAGCATGGCTAGGTTTCTCAGAAAAATCAGACTTTCTTTTTTCAGCCTGAGAGAAGTGCCCCTTTCACATCTGGAAACCTTTTTCTTCCCTAGAAATCCTTTTGAATGAGAGTTTCAGAGGGGAGCAAACTGATTATGATCTTTAAAACTTGCAGGGACCAGTCAGGTAAAGAGGAAGCTAGTATAAAATGTATAGCTTTGCAGCTAATGTGGCCCGTTTTTATGCCTTGAATCAGAGTAAGATGGAAACCAACTCACATAGCATGTGGAGTAGATAAGGAAGATACCTGCGGAAGTTTTAATTACTGTTTAATATCTAATGCGAACCTAAATAATTGTTCTGAGAAGATGCAAGAAGACCGTGAATGTTTCACTGAAACAGCACTATGTATCAGAGATAATTACAGGAGGGATCTGATCCACACGTCAGTAGATTATAGTAACAGCTGAATCTTACCGACGGTGGTTGGAAATCAACACCCTCCCAGCCTTTAATTTTTTTAAGTGGTTCTGTTCATTTTACTAAATTTTAAGCATAAAACGTCTTTTATTACTCTTCTCTCTGGGGATTTTAAGTTACTTAAAATGTGATGGGGAAAAATGCCAAGCTATTCTTTAAGCTACAGGAAGAGGGCTGCTGGTCAGATTCTTCTGTGTGGAGAGAAACACAGAGGGGACCGCTGAGAAAACATGAGCTGGCAAAGTGGCATCGTCCCGAGAAACCATGAGATCAGAGCTGGGGGAACCGTGAGGGTGGGGCAAATAGAACCAGGGGAGCCTCACTGTCCCTGGAAGAGGTGCTGGATTCAGTAAGAAAGACTCTCCCTGGAACAAACTTTGGATCAGCCCAGCTCTGGCTGGCAAAAGCTCTCACTGACTGGCGCTTTTCTCCTTCTTTAACATAATACCTCCTTTTCCTCCCAGCCTAGGTCAGATAGCACGACTAGGGTTCTCAGACCTGTCCAGGTGCTGTCTTGTTTCCAGGAGAAACCAGACTCAGGGAAGTGGCCCCGACCTCCTTGCTACTTGTTCCAGACATCGTGATAAATTGCAAACGTTTGTAAGAAAACTGACTCTCAAAACATCACCTGCAAGAATTTTGCTCTCCAGGAGTTATGCAAGCAGCTTTTGGCTGGATGAGGATGTGGTTAGTCCACTTGGAAGGCTAAAGGGATGGAGGCTGGGGACACTGCTTAGCCTGCTACTCGAGTCTTCCTTGGAACTGACTGCGGGCTCACTCAACAGAAAGGGCAGTGGCTGGTTCTCAGTAAACCCAGCGTCGGCTACCTACCTGTGAAACGGCTTCAGCTGGTTTACCGCCAACGACCGTGTGCCAAAAGAATTGTGAGTTGTGTTTATATGTATGGCTTTTGTTTCTCGTTCAAACAGCTCACGGATAAAGGAGGTGTAGTTGACGATACGACCATTTGTCCTGACTGGAGGGTCCCAGGTCACTAAGATCTCCTGGGGGCCCTTGGCCTGCAAATTTGGAGGTTCCATCCCTGAAGGTGCAGAGGGGCTGGTCCGATCTTTGACGAGGGGACTCAAAACACCCCCTTGGCTGTTGTTGGCCATGACCGTGTAGCCATACTCCACGCCTGGGGTGAGAGTGAAGTCATGATAGCGAGTTTCCAGGCCGGTATACACAAGGGCTCCATCCCTCCTAAGTTCATAACTTCTGATCTGGCCGTTTGGGGTTCTCGGTGGTTTCCAGGTGACTTCTATGGACTCTGAGCCTGTGACCTGCAGTTTCGGCGGGTCCATGTTCTGTGGTGCAGCCTCCATCGTCCAGGCAGAGTTTGCTGCGCTAGCTGTGCAGCCTCCGTTGGTACAGGCCACCAGGGAGAAATTATACCGTGTGTAGGGCTGCAGGTGGGAGACCAGCAGGGACAGGCTCTGTCCAGCCAGGTACTCCTCACCATCAAATCGAAGCAAATATTTAGTGATCTCTCCATTTTGAATGGATGGTGGTGACCAAGATACATTTATTTGAGTGGCACTGATGGTCCAAAGAGCTGGAGGGCTGACCCCTGCAGGGGCAGCCTCAAGGGTTGTGACGCTGTTGGGCCTGCTGGTGGAGCAGCCTCCCCAGGTGCAGGCTGTGATGGCGTAACTGTACGAGGAGAACGGGAGCAGCTCTTCATCAGTGTAACTGAAAGTCATGGCATCAAAGCTGAAGGGATAGAGCACCCCGTCCCTTCGAAGCTTATAGGACTGGATGATGCCATTCGGCTCTTCTGGGGGCACCCAGGAAATCAGCAGTTTGGGGGGGCTTACAGATACCTGGGCTATCTCAGGTGGAAAGAGGCCCTCTGGAGGGGCCTGCCTTGTCTTCACTGCACTCCAAGAGCTGCAGGTCTGGCCGGCTGAATTCCAAGTGTGGATTTTATATTCACAGTGCACCCATGGCTGCAGACCTGTGTCGTTATACTGAAACATTTTCCTCTCGGTATTATATTCTGTGAAAACAATTTTCTCATCGGCTTGGATTGTCTGATTTCCCCAAGCGTTTCCCTCAAAGCATCTGCGTATCACTTCGTAGCGAATGATCTTTCCATTTGGGTTCACAGGCTCTGACCAGCTCAGCTCAACACTGGTGGACCCCACATACTGGATGGTGGGAGGCAGCTGAGATTGGGGAGCCGCTTCCTCCGTCCACAGGGGCTGGGGTGCCGAGTGTGCACAGCCGGCCCTGGTGCAGGCCTCCAGGGTCAGCGTGTAGAGGGTGAAGGGGTCCAGGCGCCGGAAGAGAAACTGACGCCTCAGGCCCGTGTACTCCAGGACGCCGTCGCTGAAGACGCTGTATGTCTGCAGGGAGAGGAGAAGCAAGGTGTGTGACTTCTTGGTGTAGGTGTCTCCTCCCTTTAACCTCTCCTGCCTCCTAGCCCTCGTCTTGATGACTCTAAGCCAGAAGACGTTTTCTGATATTAATTTGGGGAATATGATCTTTGCCTTTTCTCTTTTGTTAGGGTTGGATATCACATAACCATGTATCTAAAAGCTAAGGGCTATTGAACCTAATTCTTGGACTTGAAGAGTGTTCATGGGGTCCCCTCCTATTTTTCTTTTATTAGAAGTGGGGAATAGTATTCAAGTCCCCTCTTTTATAGATAGTAAGTGCTCCTAATCTCATCCTGAGGAGGCTAAATGGGGTCTGTCTACACTGTCCACCTCCCACAGCATTTACTGGGAAATGGAATGATAATGCTTCATCACTTGTACCAGGGTGCCAGGGCAGAAACCGTGTCCGTATCTGTGCGTAAGCACATGTGCATATACATGTGTACAAATACATGTTGTACGTGTACACAAAAACATACATACAAACCGATGACTAGGAGAGGGCAAAAAGCACCATGTTTTCTTTTGCCAGCTTTGGAAGAACTGATCGTTTCTTGGGAGCAAAGTATTCTTTCATTCTGGGGAAAACCATTTGGACCCTCCTGATGCAGATGCAGAGCAAGTTTCCATCCCACACTATTCATTGTTCTTTGGGGAAGATGGGAAGTCATTTAATTGGAATCTAGCTGTTTTTGAATGGTGGTCTCCCCACTCTTTTCATGCTCCGATGTCCCTGAGAGACAGGATACTTTCCTGTAGGTGGCAGTGACCCTATGATGGCGCCTCTTAAGATGAACTGGACACACATCAGAGTCCCTTGGGAGGCAGGTCTACCCATAGGTTCTTCCTGGGGAAGCTCGACTCTGACTGGACTGTTGATATACATTAATGTGATTGAAGATTAAACAGCCTAGACTTGGAAGTCTATTAGTGTTGGACTATTATATTTTGGTGTGATTTTCTTCTTGGGGTCCCTGGGCAAGATCACACCCCTGAGGGAAGGGGAACAGTGTATTTTCTGGAGAGAGCTTAGATTCCATAATCAATTTGAGCCTCAGTGACTCCCTGTCTCCCCCTCTAATCGTATTCACTTGGCAAATCTCTAACTAGTGTTAAATTCCACTCTCCTTCTGTACCATAACTTCTAACTGGGTTTGGAGAAAAACACTCCAATGTACTGACTGGTCTCACTTTAGATTTCTTACCAAAACTTCTTAATAGACGTTTACCAACTTGTCATCTTATTCTATTGTCCCATGTGCTTGCTGTCTCATTTTCCAAAGTGATGATTTCGTATCTTCTCCTTTCCCCACTAACTGCCAACGCCACCCTCCTTCCCTCACAGGTGGTTGTTGACATGATGGGACATTTGACTGAGGACAGTGGAGGCCGTCAGAAAAGAATGTTCTCATGTTACACATGATCGCTGCCATGTGCATGTGAATCTGGACACACACTATCTGCCTGCCTTCCTTTGGCCATGGACGAAGTGCCTCCCCCAACACTGAAGGCCACCTGAGCTCTGGGTGCTCCACCCCCTCCTCCTTCCTACAGATTTCACTCCTGGGGTTATTGTCATTACCTCTTGCCTCATCAATTTATCCCCCTCTACGGGGTTATTTCCATTAGTGCTTAAATGAACTCTAGTCTCCTCCACTGATTTCTAAATAAAACTTCCTGACATCAGAGTCCCCCGCTCCTGCCCCATGTCTCTGCTTTTCTCTCCATCTCCACTCCTTTAAAGAGCTGCTGTCTCATTCCCTCTGGTTTCCCATTTCACCACTTGATCTTCTTGTCACGACCACAATGACCTCCTCCTCGTTTCCACATCCAGGGTCACGCCTCCGTCGTCATTTTACTTTCTCTCTCAACGGCATTTGGCACATTTTCTCTTCCCTTTGGGAACACGCCTCTCATCTACTTTTCCTTCTACCTCCCTTGCCTGGCTGGCTCCTCTTCCTCCCCTTGACTCTAAATGTCTATACTCCCCAGGGCTCGATCCCAGCGCTCTTCACCTCTAGTTACGTCCTCTCTGTAGCTGGTCCCCTCCAGGCCCGTGGGTGTGAGTACCACCCATCTGCTAATGAATTCCAAATATATATATATATAGAGAGAGAGAGCTCTGTGAAGAACTTCCCCAAGAGTTCTAGACTTGCACCTCCAACTGCCTACTGGTCCCCTCAAACCTGAATATCTTCCAGCCTTGCCTTCCCAGCCAGTGACTCAAGGCCCAAACCCAGAAGTCACTCTGAAGGACTCCTTTTCCTTCACGTGTCACATCCAGTCCATGGACAAATCTTGCCATCTCTACCTTCTGAGTAGGTCTCCCATCCTCCCATCTTGCTCTACCTTCACAACTCCCACTCGAATTCAAGCCACCATCACGTCTACCCTGAATTCTTTACCAGATTCCAAACTCCACGGGTCTCCTTATCCCATTTTCTACCAGACTGATTTTAAAAACACAAGTTTATCTATGCTCTTCTTTTGCCTAAACCCTTCAGTAGTTTTTTCTTTGCACTCAGAATAAATTCCAAGCTCCTTATCAGAGCCCACGAGGTTGGCACAATCTGCTACCTACCAAACCCTTGAATCTCTTCTAGTGTCATCCTTCTCTCCGCACACCCCCCAATACTTCAGCCACTTTGGCTCTCTTCCCTTTATGTGAGTACGCCAAGTTCATTCCTGGCTGCAGGCTCTGTGTTTGCTGTTCACTTTGTCTGGAATATTTTGCTCTCATATCTTCACATGACTGACTCTGTCTTGTCATTCAGGGCTCAGCTCAAATGTCAACTCAATCCAAGTGATCATCCGTTCTGAAAACAGCCCGAGCAGGCATAATTACATTATTCTGTTTAATTTTCTTTCTAGCGTTCATCACTCTCTGAAATTCTCTGGCTTATCTGTGTACTAGCCTTTTTGTCCGCCTGTCTCTGTCTTGACCATTCATGTATTTGTACGTACACGTAAGGTCTGTGATGGCAAGAACCGGGCCCGTCTTGTTCACTCCTGGCACTTAGCAGAAGCTCAAAAAATATTTGGTGAAATTGAAATGAAGATAAAAGGAGTAGGCATTTCTATTGCCAGTCATGCCCGGAAGAGGCAGACGCTGGGACGGGAAACACACACTCACAAGAAGTGGGGCTTCGATGGGTGTGAAAGCAGAAATTCTTTTTTTCTGATGGGGACCTTTGGACTGTGACTTGGATTTTAGGGCCAAGCATCCTAAGTCTCAGGCCTCCTGTCCCAGAGCAGGCAAAGTCTGCCTCTGTCACAGTGAGGGGGCTGGCAGAAAGCAGCTAGCTTCTGCTCCAGGTGGCGGGCCTGGAGGTAGGCAGAGGGCATTCATTGTGCCAGGCAGCTGCAGGGAGGCCCACAAGGATGGCCTGGGCCTGTGAGCTCTAGTTACAGATCCAAGTCATTGCTGTAGGTAACTTCCTGTCCCCCTCCTCATTGGGTCTTCAGGGAAGCTTTAACCAAAGTCGCAGCTGACTCTTAACTGTTCTATGTGGCATTAGTCGGGGAGTCTTTGCCACCTTGAGAGGGAGTTGTAAAGGAGAGACGGAGTGTCTCTAATAGCTGCAGGGTGTTCAGTCCTGGCCTGCAGAAGACAATTGATGAGGGCCTGGGTGGTGGCGCAGGGCCAGAGGGGACTTGAGGCAGAGGCAGTAACAGACAGACAGGTGCGTCACCACCATCCCTGGGGGAGAACGCCAGAAGGGAGGTGAGGCTGATTCTCATGTGGGTGATGGTTCAGAGCATCAGAATGTGGGCTAATAAGGGAAACGCAGCCTCATTTGCGCTCCCAGACTGGCTGAAGCCTGGGCTGTATGTGTGGCATTAGTAAGACTCCTCCTGATGGCTGTGTAGGGACGTCAGGGACTTAGCAGGCATGTGGGGCTTCCTGTTTCCTGCTGAGCGAGCTCCGTTCAAAGCGCAAATCAGGCAAAGTTTAAGCAAATAGCTGGGTGGGGTAAATCAGGAGGCAGGAAGAACACAGTCATTTAGAGTTCGGTTCTGGTGTGACTTCCTGGCTTCAGACCCCAGTTCCATCATGGCAGTGGGGGCTTGGACGAGGATTCAGCCTTAAGTGCCCCGTGAGTGTTAGCGGTACCTACTGTGTAGGGCTGATGTGAGGATTAAATGAGATAATCCACGGAGAGCACTTAGCCAGTGCTGGGTTCTCAGGGAGCATCACACACGGGAGCTGGTTTTCTCTGATCTACGGTTAAGCGCCTGGAGGGGCCTATCAGGAAGAATTAACCAGGCTGTGAAGGGAGTCTTCCCACAGCGACCTGATGGGCTGTCAGGGCTCATCCACTTGTCTGGAGAACGCCAAACGTGATTTCACATTCGGGGTAGCCGTTACCTTAATCACGCCATTGGTTCTGGCAGGTTCCGACCACTGCAGAAGCAAGGCCCGCCCGTCCTCCTTCTGCTGTACCGTGAAGTTGCTCAGTCCACTTGGGGAAGATTCTAGGGTGTGAACCAGAGTCCAGGGGCTGGAAACTTCTCCTGCCTGGTTTGTGGCCACAACACCCACGTGATACGGTCTGAAGGGCTCCAACCCACACAGCTGGGCTCGATGGCTTGTTCCCTGTAAGAAAAGGGACAGGTTAGTTTCCTCTTAGAAACTGCTGCCAATTGCTGGACGGTCACAATCTGACCAAAGTACCCCAGCAACACAGCACAAAAACACAGTGGAGTTTTGAATTATTAAGAAAACAATATGGTTTTTTCTTGTTCTTAACACGCTAAATAGATGACCTAATGTTGTGTGATTTCAGACACACACACAGTGTGGGTCAGATAGGATTTTGGCCTCTTCAGAGTTTGCAACCCAATGAATGCGATATATAAAAACAACAAAAAACAACAAGATCTAGATGTCTCAGGTCGGGGCTGCATTTAGCTCATGATGGAAATCAGCGGCACCCAGCTGTGTGGTACGCAGCGGGGTAATCCTAAGGCTTTGGAGATCTAACCTGAACAACCCTAATTCTCTCTTGTTAAACCCCAACACTATTTGTTTATACCTAAGACCCTCCCCATCTCCCCAGTTTCCCTCTCTCAGTTCTCTTGGTGTGTGTCTACATCTTACAAACGCTATAAAACAAACACAAGAAAACAGCAAGCCGACTGAACTATGAACGCGCAAACAGCCCGAGAGCAGTCTACCATTAACGTACACGTGAAAATATTCTCCTTTGTTAAAAACAGCATAGCTAAAACTATGCAGTTGACGAAAAGTAATGGTCAGCTAGGCTTTGAGTATTTGGTCTTTGTTAATTTAAAAGGAAAGAAAAAGAGGAACAGCACAATTGCTTTTTCTCTGCCTGGAGAGCAGCATTTCATGTATTTTGCATAATTAAACTGGAGCTAAGAATCCTAATGTTTTGAAAGAGCCCAGAGTGTTCTTTCCACATCTGGGCTGGATGGAAATGTCTGTTCACCAATAGGAATTACGTCTGCAAGTGTGCCAGGAATGTGTGTATCAATAAACACACACAACCACACACTTTGTGTTGTGTACCACACCCACTGGATGTGAATAATCAAGAGGAAGGTGTTTTTTTTTTAAACTGGTTTAATAGGATATTTATCCTTAATGTTGTGAGATCAGCTTTGATTTGTTCAGTGTGACAGTCTTCCACTGTCCTGTTGCCTTGTTGGGCACAGGAGGAAGAATGGAAGATGGAGAGGTGGATGTTATTTCTGCGAGTAGGTACTCAAAAGCATCAGAGCTATGTGAGTGGAATTTCTCCTTAACTCAAGGGCACCCAAAAATCATTATGAATAAAATCTAAAACAACGTGGCAAAATCAAACAACCATTTTCCAAAAAAATTTGGTTAGACAAAACCAAAACCCACTGTAGAAATAATTTTTGACACCATTTCCTCACATTCTTGGTTCTAAGTTTTATGTCTGTCTAAGTTCACGTTTCTTGTTTCTTATTATCATTCGTATTCTCTAAGTTCATGTTTCTTATTACAAACAGAGAAAATATAATTTCCTTTACTTATCCAAAAACTTGTAAAGTCAATTTTCCTGTTTCAATAAGTCCCATTATGATATTACATGCTAACCTCTTGAAATCTTTTAATATTTAAACATTTGCGAAGTGACCAGACTCTGAAACAAATTTTACAGAAATACTAATTTCTCTTTTTTAAAATATTAAAAGTTGGATCATAAATATTTAAAACTTATTTCTCCACAACATTGGATTGGTCTTTTAGATAAACAGAGCACAGAACTAGAATGACCATAATGAATATTAAAGCTGAAGATGCTACAAGCCCCGATTACAAACATTCTTTTCTGATAAATGATTCCTTTTCTGTGGAAATAGGGCAAACACGGGCAAGATTAATAATGCAAAAAAGAACAATTCTTTGTTCAGAGTGTTCAGGAATAGATGCCAAGAAAGCATCAGCTCCAAAGCAAACAGTAATCACCTCTAACAGATTATATATAAAAAAGGAAGGCTGTTGGGGGACATTTGGAGATAGCTTTTGTCATAAGAAACATGAAAAGCATGTGGGCTATAAAGCAAAAACATATGTATATTGTCAATAGCAGCACCTGCTCAATTACAGTTTATTTCAGAGCTAAGGATTCCGTTCCGCCCCTAGATGGCAATACTATCAAACACTTTTGGTAACGTGAGTACTTAATGATTAACCACCGACATTCAGTCATCCAACACACGCCAGGCAACCATTTAAAAAGGAACAAAATATGATTTCATTATAGATTCTTTTAGTAAACATGTATCGCCAGAACTCTGAGTGCAGAAGTCTTCAGAATGCCCTGGCTTCAAAACCTCCACCATCAAAACTGTGGAAATAGGACCCTCAGACCTGATGCTGAAGTTCGTGCACGCCTGGCCCAGAAATGTTCAGAGGTATATTCCCACAGAAAGTGATTACTACAGTTGTTTTGCTTAATTTTGTCTATAGTTTTTTTTTGGGGGGGGGAGGTAATTATGTTTACAAATAAATACATTCATTAATAAAATAAATACATTCATTAAAAATAAATAAGTTTACTTTTAATGGCAGTACTGGGGAGTTGAACCCAGGACCTTGTGCATGCTAAGCACACACTCTACCACTGAGCTATACCTTCCTCCTATATCTTCTTTAAAAAATAAAAATAATCATATATCATAAACATAAAGGAAATGTGAAGGAGGATTTTTAAATCATAAATTTATAATGACAACAAGTTCCTATATTATGTTAATTTATTTCTGAAGAGCCACAACACACAAACACACACACATGCCTTAAATAAGCCTCAGTGATAGACATGCTTTTTGTCAATATTTAGTAAAGTCCATATGAAAAAAGCAAAGAAAACTTCAAAATGGCAGGACTATCCTTGCCAATTTATTCTTTGACATTTTAGGAAATAATCGATATTATTCTTCCCTGGGTGGATTTCCAACGCCAGAGTTCATGATTTTAGAATCCTACTATAAAATCCGGGCACAGGTCACCCTGTGGCTCGGGGTGTGTCTTGTTTATTCATTCAGGTACTTGTTCTTTGCCTCCAGTTTGGCATACTGGCTTGAGCACTGTTGATCTTAAAGGTACTGGATCCCATTCCTTCCTTTGGAGACGTAGCATTCTGCCCCACTGACTGGGAAAAGCCCACCTTGAAAACACGTTCCTTCCTTTTGCTCCTCTGCTGCCCCGTTCTTCCTTCCCCTGGGGAGACGATCTTAATTCCATCCTCTTCCCTCTTGACGTTTCATTGTCATTATTCTGCTTTTACTTTCCATTTCCATCTTACTGCGTCTTTTGAGATATAATTTTTGGTTATACCTGACCTCTGGGCTACCAACTTGTACTTGCGTTTCTTTCGTCTTTGTCCCATCCATGTCCACACGCTATTCCTCTATTTTCTATTTAGAAGGACACTAACTACTTTTGTTAGGCAGCAGATGAAAAGAATGACTCAGTAAAGGAGAACAGGAGTAATTTGTTCTCCGCAACCTCGTATTTCCAATGAGACTGAAGCTTTTTGTTTTTAAACTCATGTGCATGAGCGTCAGAGTAGGGACACACATCAGGGAGTCCTTTAACGAGACATAAAGGCGAGACTCTCTGGAACACTCCGCCAGCTGAGGTCCTGCTGGCGATATGAACTACATTTTAACCTCTCAACTCTGCTCCTGGGGGCACATGAAACTACTTGGAGTCTTCGGCAGTTTGACAATTTTACACCATCTTCTCTGATTATTTTTGACGACTTGAAGTGCCCCAAAGGTGGCCATGGGGTCAAGAGGTTTATGTAGGTTGAAAATGATCAAAAATTATCATTGATCTGTAGCTGTCAATAAAAGGCAGCGTGGGGGGATTCCCTGCACAAATGTTTAAACTGCATAAAGCAACCTAACTTAGTCATCTCTGAGTCTATTGATCTGATGGCCCAGCAGTTTCCAGAGCTCTCCCTCTGCTTTAAGGTGCATTTTCACTGAGCCCATTTACCTTGGCCCTTCGGACTCTTCTTATCCTGCTGTCAGTAATGAACCAAACAGGGATGTCTGGGCACTGCTGTGTTCACTGCCAGAGGCTCGTGTGTGCTCATTACATTTGGGAAAGGGCTGGTCCCCCTGGTCACCATCAACATCATTCCCAGCCCAGGGGGTTCCTCCTGGTCGTACTCCCTTCACCTGGCTCCTCATTTTACAATGGGTGACTTTTGGCTTATAAATCCCAACCCAGCTGCAGGGTTCCTTTGCCTCCTTAGCTCTCAGGAATGTCAAGACCCAGAGGATACATCATGTTGGAAGTTGGCTTTCTTTTGTACAGAGAGCTTCAGAGAAATCTAGATTTAAATACATTAACTGACGCCTTCTTTCATTGAACCACCTGGATGCTGCTTCTCATCTTTACCATAAGTTGAAGTTTATCTTGTCATAATGGTAAAATAAAGGAATGGTTATTGACAAGCTTCTGGCTTCTATTACAACCGAAACACTAGAAGTAGGAGAAGTTCTCATTTAGCATCACCTGAAGTTCACGGCTTTGGGTAGAGCACATCCAGCCAGTTGGATGACCTTTATACATTGTGATGAATAAAAAAATCAGCACAAAATGTTTGTCTAGATTTCTGAAAGGCAGATGACTTGGGGCATTAAGTTCTCCTCCCACAAATAGCTACATTCAGAGAAGAACAATACGTGGGAAGGGGAAGGTATTTCTTCCGTCTCTGAAGTACATCGTTCATCTCGTAACGGGGCGGGGGGCGGTCAATGCAAAAAGAAGATTCACAGATGTTTTCTTTATAGACAGATGGGCCCTATCAGTTTAATCTACAAAGCAAAAGCTAGGGTTCTCACAAAATAAATGATGGCACCTCGGTTACCATAAAAACATTGGGGAAGAAAAGAATGGATTTGAAATGGCTCATTTTTCAAAGGAGAAGGGGAAAAAATTAAATTTGTGATAATTAAATTTTAAAGTGGCAAATCAGTCACACTAAATATTAAAAAGCAGTACTTCTGATCTATCAAAATTAAAAATGTGCCCACGCTGTGACCCAGCAATTTCACTCTGGCAATCTGTTTTATGGTAATACTAGT